CGGAGGAGCGGCGGCGGCGTCGGGCGCTGCCCGGGGCCGTGCGGGCGCTGGAGCTGGCCGAAGCCCGGCGGCGGCTGCTGGAGGTGGAGGGCCGGCGGCGGCTGGTGCTGGAGCTGGAGAACCGGGTGCAGCAGCTGCACCGCGTCTTCGTGCAGGCCGAGCTGCGCATGGCCGGCCGCGCCGAGAGCCTGGCCCGCCTGGGCAGCGGCGCCGGCCAGGCCCAGATCTACCTGGCGGCCCACGGGCAGCGCCTCAAGAAGAGCCTGCGGCGCTCCCGCAAGGCGCGGCCGCCCGCCCTGCTGGCCTCGGCGCTGGGCGGCTGCGTGCCCTGGGCGGCGGGCAAGCTGCGCCGCGGCCGGGCGGAGCCGCCCGAGTCCCCCTTCAAGAGGAGCCTGCAGGGGCCGCCGGGGCAGCCCCCGGCCTGAGAGCAGAGAGGGGGCGCCGGCCTGGGGGGCTTGTCCTAGCGAGGGGCCCCATCCTGGGGGTGGGAGGGGAGGACCCTTGTGCTGGATGGGGCCCATCCTGGGGAGGACCCCTGTGCTGCGGGGGACCTTGTCCTAGCGAGGGGCTCCATCCTGGGGAGGACCCCTGTGCTGGGGGGGTTCCTTGTCCTAGCGAGGGGCCCCATCCTGGGGGTGGGGTGGGAGGGGAGGACCCCTGTGCTGGGGGGGACCTTGTCCTAGCGAGGGGCCCCATCCTGGGGGTGGGGTGGGAGGGGAGGACCCCTGTGCTGGGGGGGGCTCCTTGTCCTAGCGAGGGGCCCCATCCTGGGGGTGGTGGGAGGCACACCCACTTCAGCTGGGACCTGTGGGAGGGAGCGGCTCCCCCTCCGCAGCCCTCTGATCTGGGATCTGGGTGGACCCCACTCAGCAACTGCCTCCCCTGGGCCCTTTTGGGAAATGGAAAGTTGTGCTCGACCTGTGCCCTCCCCCCACCTTGTAGTTAGCACCCGTGTCCCCTGGGGGAAGCAGGGAGGGAGAGCACCCGGAGGCACAGGGAAACGCGTCCACTCTAGGCTTGCCCTGTGGGAGTTTCTATAGCACCCATCCTAAGAAGGGTCCAGTTCTTGTGGGGCCCCAGGTAGCACCCCACCTTGGCTTGCAGAACTCCTGTCCCACGACTACCCACCCGTCTTGTCCATGACTGCACCAGGACTGGCGGATTGCCTTCTCGAACCACAGGCAAGTCCTCACGAGTGCAAGAGCTCTGATCTGTAAAGAATGAATGAAGATTCAATTCATCAGGAGCAGAACAAACCCCAATGTGGGTCAATCCCATGTCACATGTAGAAGACCCCAGTGTGCTGTGTCACCGCCCAATCTGTTTTGCTAACCAGGGGTGCTTTCAGACCCAGTGGGCCCTCTAGAGAGGCTCTGCCTCCCCCAGACAGACTGTCCTTACCAGCTCCCACATGGACTCATCTGTTTTTCCCTCCTCATCAGGCTGCTGGCAGCAATCAGCCTGTTGCTCTGACTCACTGCTGCATCTGGTCCCCTTTTGGTCGGGGGGGGGACGGGATCCAAGAATCCTGCCTTAATTTACCCCTGCACGTCTCCAGCCTGAGACTTCAGCAATCCACCCGGGGACATCACTACTGGACTGCACTAACCCCTACAGCTGGTCAGTAGCTGTCTTGTAGTTTTGGACGATGTTTCTATTCATGATGGACCAGTATCCACTGAGACAGCTTAGTGGGACAGAGACCAGTCTCCTCTTCGGTGATTGTAGTGACCACAATGCCTCCCAGCTGGGACACCAAGATGCCCAAATAGAGTCTCCTGCAGCTTTGAATGAATGTTTCCATTTAGAAGCAATATACTCTAACATTCAGAATCTGATTGTTACATTCTGAGGTGCCCTGTAACCATGAGCTAGACCGAAATCGTGATCCCATAGAAATCTTTGGGAATTCTGCCACTGACTTTCATGGGGCCATGATTTGGCCTTAAGTTCTCCAAGAGGTTTGTGCCCCTCAGGGTGAAACATACCCCCTGGGCAGAGGGCTAGCACTAGGCATAGGCATTGCTTACATCTGACTTGTCCTTCCATGTCCTCTACCTGATCTCTCCTAGCCTAAGCCCACTGGTATGGGACTGAAGTGGTGCATATGCTTTGTGCCGGCCCACTGCACACGGGTGAAGTTCAGTCTGAATGAGCAGTACAATACGCAACGTTGACACTTCCCTGGTGGAAGCCCTTCGGGGCAAGGTTGTAATGGGTTCTGATGACCGACTCCCTTGCTGAAAGCCTGCTTGCAAGTTTCAGGTTGGATACAAAGAACCACGCCACGATTCAAGCCCGTGCAGAAACAGACAATCAACCACGTGGAACAAGTCACAAAAACGATGGTTAAAGTGTCTCTTTGCACTGGGCCTCATCCATCACTCTGGCTTCTATTGTTCACTTTGCATGGGACTCTGACTCTTCTGCCAGAAGAGGCTTCTCATCCCTTTATTTTTTTAAACTTGAAGATCACTTTTTTTGATCACACTGACTCATGAATGTGCAGAGACTACCTTGATGTGCGTGAGAGAGAGAGAGAGAGAGACAGCAGGTCTGTTATGTAATCTTTGCCTCATGTGTTTATGCTGGATAGATCCCGAGCAGATGCTGTAGTTGGACTTGGACTGAATATACACACGTTGCACTTGGTGCTTTATAGCAGGCGCTTTCTGGAAGTCAGCACTTACATAAATAAACAGCTATATATTTTATTCATTATATACAGTGTCTGGAGGGGTTGCTTTAAATATGGAAGGCGGGAGGGGAGGGGGTTGGGATAGGAAAACTGAAAAATAAGCCCCAACAACTGCTTGTAAATTATATACAACCATAACATCTGTGCAAACCTCTGACCCAACTGTCCTTTGCTAGCTGGGCTCTGCATCCCGTCACCTGGGTATTCTTACTTTTAATATTTTGTGTTAGTTGCAACAGAACCACAATCATTGGACTAGGAATAACTTTATGATGCTGGTGCCTTGGGACACGAATGTGACTGGGATCTTTCTGTGCACAGGCACGGGGCACGTATTTAGGTCTGGTCTACAGCCCTATATCGGAATAACTCCATCGCTCGGGGGTGTGAAAAATCCATATAGTTATACCGACCTCACCTCCTGTGTAAACAGTGCTCTGTTAGCGGGAGAGCTTCCCCCATCTACACAGCTACTGCCCTTCGGGGAGGTGGATTAACTACGCCGACGGGAGAGAGCCTTCCCATCGGCTTAAAGTGTCTTCGTTAAAGTGCTACAGTGTGCCAATGCAGCATTTTCAGTGTAGACTTGCCCTTAGTAACAGAGAGTCCCTGTCCTGAAGAGTTTGCACCTTGAGGACAAGACACAATAAGCAGGTGAAACAACCACAGTGTGTGTAGAGAAAGGCAGGCAGGGAAATAAACGTATTCATCTGAAGAAGTGAGATTTTTTACCCACGAAAGTTTATGCCCAAATAAATCTGTTAGTCTTTAAGGTGCCACCAGACTCCTTGTTGTAAACGTATTCATTGGCAGTAATCTTAGCATGCCACCTGCTGGGCTATAGTGAGATGACAGCGTACAGGACAGGGGTCTTAATGGCATTTTCTTCTTAGTTCTCTCTTATGGCGTGTTCTACAAGAGGTTGGGGATAGACTTAGTTTTATATGGCAATAAACCCCATTCATCACCTGCACAAGGCCCTGTCTGAGCTCTCATAGCATAACCTTAAATGGGAAACTTTCATTGTTCCTGAGCTTTCGGACAAGGACACACACAACTCTGAACTCTTTTTTGTCACAGTATTTGCATTCCAGTACAACCTTCCTAACGGAAAATGCCTTGCTATCTGAAACTGTTACATCCCCTCCTAATCTAGCATTTATTAAGAGAGATTTAAGTCCAGTCCTGGGTTGACAGAGAAAACAGAGACTAGGAATACATTTTGATCATGGTGAAATGTTCCATACCAAGTCTGAGGTTAACGTATTTATTAATTGTCTGGAGAAGGCTGTAAACAACATTTTCAGAAGACCCACAGGTAGGTTAGTGGTGACTAGAGAAGATTATGGGGACCCAAGAGCTAGGTGACCGGGCTGCACCATAGCAGATGAGATTCCATACGGATGAGTGAAAACTGATGCACATTGGAGGGAATCATTTGAATGACTCATTACACCTATGAGACTTAGGAGCACAGGTCTCATTGACAGTCAAAGGGGCCTGTGCTCCCAAATCCCCTGGGCCCTTTTGAAAACCTGTCCTGACAACAATGCCATCTGCAATTCAATGCATTAGCGACAGGACTCCTAGCAGATTAAGGCTCATAGGGGTTTACTCTGTGTTTAATCTGTCCGTACCAGGGTGAAATCCTACTGAAGTCAATGAGAAGTTGCCTGAATAAAGGTGGAGTAATAGCCAACACCTCAGGTGTCTGCCTATAGGAATTCAGAGACAGCACAGACTCATTCAGCGCTCCTGCTAGACTGGACTAAAAGAAAGTGCAAAGCCTAGAAGGAAAATCACCTGGATGGCTGCATCTGATGAAGTGGGCTTAGTCTCTAAGGTGCCACAAGTACTCCTGTTCTTTTCACCTGGATGGAGTTTGTCTCATTTAGGGCCTGATCACGAGTCCTGGGAGTCGTTCCATCTACTTCAACAGGCTCTGGATCAGGCCCTTACACACGAATCTTTTATTCCAAACATTGGGGTCAGCGTTAAACCCCGAGGGAGTCAGGAGCTGGGGGAGGGGCAGGGCAGCTGACTCGAGCAGCTTCTCTCCTGCAAGAAAGAGCCACGTTTAGAAGTAAAGTAACCAGCTCTTTTCTGCTTGCAGCTTCAATGTGACGACAGCTATTTTTGCTCCAAAAAAAAGTTCCATTTCATACCTGAATAGTTCATAATTGTTTGCAGCTGCAATGCCCAGCACAAAACTCCCCCACCCCACCCTGGCTCCCATCACCTGCTGTTGCTTTCAACCTTGTGTCTGCAATTGGAGCAGCGCACAGTGCATGTGAGAGACACTGCCACTCCAGACTGGTAGCATTTTACACCTGGTGTCAGTGACTGCACAAGGATCAAGGCAGTGATGCACGGGACTCTAAATGACTCTGAAGTGTGCATGACCAGACTAGTTTTTTGGGGGGGTGGGGAAAGGAAAGAAGAGCAGGGAATGGGGATGGGACACTTGGGCATCTCGGATTTAAAAAAAAATTAACGATGTATTTTGGAAAGGGTAAGCTGCCTTTTCTCTTTTACAGTAAAACTCGGGGATTGCGAAGTGGGTCCATAAAAAAAAAAAAAAAAAAGACCTTCCCCGGTCATGTCCCTTGAATATCCTGGGACCGACAGGGCCACAGCGACACAGGATTCTGAATGCACAGTCTGCTTGTCACCAGAGCGGGCTTTTCTCCATGCTAATACTTTGTGTGATCTTAGCTCTTTTCATCTGGGATCTCAAAGCACTTTACAAACCGTAGTGAATTGAGAGCCTCCCAGCCAACATGGGAGATTGGTCAGTATTATCACCCCACTTCTATAAAATGGGCACTAAGAAATGAAGGCCCAGAAGTTTTAGGCACCTTTCAATAGGAGGTAGATAACTAAAGATCTTCCAGGATCTGTGACTGGATAGCTCTGTCAGGAGCAAAACCCACATAACCCAACTCCTGGGTCCAGGGTTTCAGTGCTAGGACATTTCACAGTGAAGAAACTCTTTGTTAAAGTATTTTTGAACCAGTTTTGCTTATAATGTACTCAGCCTCTCGTGCCCCTTTCCATGAAAACAATAGTTAGAAGCAGAACATTCTGGGTGACTATCAGACACACAGATCAGCTTGTGATCTAGGTAAGTACTTGATGAGTTTGTTTGTGCCTGGGGGAAACTTTTCTGCTCTCAGTTTCATTTGTAAGGTTCAATTATCCGAAGACAAAGAGAATGACCGCCCTGGAAACCAGACAACAATGAGCCCTGTGAGGTGTTACTCCCAGTAACTTTCAGGGGACCAGCACGGCCAAGTAGTCAAAAATCACCAACCCCCCCCAAAAATTATGAGATTGGCTTACAACATCATGAGATTTTAAAAAATAATCTATTTTGGGGTTTTGCCTCCTGGTTTGTAAGCCTGTACAAACTGCAATTTCAAGCTTTTCTCTGCCACCACAAGGGCTAGAAACTTACTTTCTTGTTTAAAGGAAAGTTGAGAGGCCTGGGTAATCCCATGATTCCAGGAGCTG